TATATGTTTAAGTTATTATTACTACAGGTTTTATTATTTAATATAATGCATGCCTTAATATGAACTATGCAGCTGGAACAGTGGAGGGTCATGAAGACATAAACTTGTGTCACTTAAGTCCAGAGGGCTTTGGGCCACTATGACATACACAGGTTGAAGAACATAAACTTTTTTGTGATAAAGCCAAGAAAAGCATTTCCTATAAAGCAGTATTTCTAATACTGTGAACCATGTATCACCTGGATTAGAATCACCTGGGGTGCTATTTATTGGCTTCACCTCACTTCCACTGACACGGAACCTCTGGAGGTGGGGACTCAATCATCTGAACTTTTATAAAGTTTTCCAGGTGATGCTGGTACATAGTGAAGTTTGAGAACTGCTCTGGAGTCAGGTGCTATTTTTTGTCTTTTACTTTTTAACTTAATATCTTTTAGATTCACAGAATCGGAATAATGATACTTAGTCACTAGACTCATCATTTCTCTGTGGGCTGTGTCTATCTATCTATCTATCTATCTACCTACCTACCTATCTCTCTCTCTCTCTATCTGTCATCTATCCACATCTATCATCTAAAATATACTGAATGTCATTGAGCTCACAAAGAACTAATATAATACATTGATCATAACTGATATTTACTAATATGTTTGATTATAACTTGTATTTACTAATATGTTCTCCCCATGCCATCCCAACCCCCTCTATAATGACCACTATCTGAATTTGTGCATATTTTTCTCTATCTCAAAAAAGTACGTATATATAAAAATCTCCATAATACATTTTTGTATATACATATATATATAAAGACACATATGTCTATATCCCCACATCTATCTATCTATATTTTAACTGTTTTGAACTTTTAAAAAAGGGTAGTAGGTTGTTCATAGTCTAAGATTTTATTCAGCTCCTCCTCCCCACTGACAATATCATACATTAAATTTCACCTGAATTATTCCAAGTAGCTTTATAGTTTGTCTATTTTCACTCTTGCAGGTATATATGTTCATTGACACTATTACAGAATTTTCATTTTTTGAGACGTGGTCTTGCTGTGTTGTCCAGGCTGGTCTCGAACTCCTGGGCTCAAGCAATCCTCCTGCCTTGGCCTCACAAAGTGCTGGGATTACAGGCATGTGTGACCACACCTGAGTTGCACTATTGTAGAATTAAACTGAATGGATATATCACATTTAATTATTCATCTCCATTTCACTTGTGTTAATTTCTCATATTTCCCTATTATAAATAACCTTGCTAGGAATATTCATGTATATGCATCCAAGTGCACAAATGTGAGGCATATTCTTGGATAGTGCCTAGCAGTATAAATGTTGAATAGTTGGATATGAGAATTACTTTAAATGATATTGCCAAATTATTTTTCGGAGTCATTTTAACTATTTATGTTCTGATCAATGATACTAAAATTATCTTCTCTAGCCCATGATGTGATCAGGGCTCTTAAATTTTGTCAATGGATGGATATAAAATGATATCTTGTTGTGGTCTTGACTTGCATTTCTTTAACCACAAAGACATTGAGCCCATTTTCATATTCTTACTAGTAATTATGTGTTTCCTCTTCTCTGAAATATCTGTTTGTGTCTGTTGCCCATTTTTCTGTTTGTGTCTGTTTTGCCCATTAAGTTGTTTATCTTTTCCTTTTTATTTTTTAAAAGTGATTATTTGCTTTTAATATATCCTTGGTCATCTTCTCCTAAAAGTTTTTACTTTGTTTTCCCTTACCTTATGTGCCTTTTGAAAAATCAAAATTCTTCATTTTAATAGAGTCAGTTTTATCAATCATGTCTTGTAGCTAGCATTTATTTGGTCTTGTTTTAGGAAATGATCTTTATCCCAAGGTCAGAAAAGTATTAATCTACATTTTTGACTAAATGCTTAAAGCTTTGTCTTTGATATTTATGTTTGTAATCTGAGTTTGCTTGAGTGAAAGGCATTAGGTAAGGATCTAATTTCCTACAATTTTTTTACATACAGATGGTAATTTTTCTTTGGTTTTATTAATTGATTTTTTTTATTTTGAACTGATCTTGCATACCACTCTTGTCAAGTTTTCATATATGTGTATCTGTCTAAACTCTATTACATTTAATCTGTTAATTTATAAAACTCCAATACAACACTACTCCTATCGTATTTATTATAGCCTCATAATAAGTCCTGCTACCTGGTAGGGTAAATCCTCACTCTTTATTCGTTTTCTGCAAAAATATCTTGGTTATTTTTGGCTCTTTAATCTTCCATATAAATTTCAAAACCAGACTGTCGGGTTTTATTAAAAAAAAACTTTATCTGTATCAAGTGACTTAAAAAAAAATTCATTTACTCTGTGGACTCACCAGAATGACAGAGATAAGGAAAGAGAACTATTAGTCTGGCCTCGAAAGCTATTATATCACAATCACTTAATGTTTACATACATTTAATTAAAAATATATTTTTAAATAGTATTTACTTTGGGATTTAAAAATTTATGTTTGCTTAGGGCATTAAAGAAAAGGACTGTAATCTAAAGTTTCTGTTTTTTCATATCATGGTTTGCATATTGGGAAGATTTAGAGTGATGTTATTTCAGCTTCACTTTCACAGCTAGCTACAATGTACTTCAATGTTTCTTCATGCCTTTTTAATGTATAGATACTCAAGGAGAAACTACTATGCTTTTCATTATAAGGTGGTTTATTTACTACTAATTGAAAATAAATGAACCCTCTTTCACAAATTTTAAAATGTTGTTATTGGGATAAATACAAATTGATTTAATATTCCTCTTGATAATAATAAAATGGCACACATCACCCCATCCTTATCCCTGTAAGAAAAATAGTTTCAAACATAATGTGTAACTTGGATAAGCACACATAATATGGCAATTACAATATGACTCCATTCTCCCCTTACCTTACATATTCACTAGTAGTAAGTTAGGTAGCATATAAATCTGCCGCAGTAATTTACAGAATAGAAGCCTAGTGATCAAAAGGAGTTTGTGTAGTTTCTTAAAGTATGTTATTTATTCATGACACATAGCTTAGATAGTGATAGAATTTAGCATAGTGCATATGTCTGCTACTTCACTGTATTTGTGTTAGCAAAGAGGTTTTTTTTTTCCCCCTAGTTCAAATTTGCTCAAGGACACAGAATGTGAGGACGTTTAGTATTCAGGTGCAGTGTACTCTGTTCTGTTAATTCCTTTTATGCGGAGAAGCTGGAATGTGAAAAGGTTGTAAAACAAGGAAACAAACTCAAATGGTTATTTCTTGTTTGGGTCTAAGTCCATTATAATACAGTGCCAATAAACATAGTGGCTAAGATAATACAAATGTGAACCACTCTATTTGTGTCTGAAATTCACTAAGACCTCGATTCTAATTTACGTTAGATGAAAAGGTATTTACAAAGCAAAAAACAAAAGATACAATTGAATAAATGTGCAACTTCTATTCTTCTGTTCTAACCACATTCTTTGCAATGAGCTTTGCTTGGGTTTAAGCTTTTACCTTGGACTGAAATCAGAAGAAATTGGATTCTAAGGCTTGAGAACTCCTCACTGAAAAATTGGTAGACTGAAGGGAAGGAGAAAGGCAAACTTCGTAAATTGAGAAAAATTAAAATCTTCTCCGTAATTGAGGTTATATATACAAGATTAGACCACGCAGAAACAACAACTGAAATGAAAGTGTGAGTCAATGGCACACAAGACATACTGCAGGACAAATTATGTTTCCAATATAGATGAAATCAATTTCATGCACAATTTATTAGTGCTGTCACGGACGGTCTGTCCTAAGACAGGATCTAGGTGAATTGAGTTATTTACCTACAGCAGTAGCAAGTGGTCTTTTAGAGCAGTGTTTTTTGAACTTCTTCGTTTCCTAGGGTGCTTGTTAAAAAAAAACACAGATTGCTTTGCCTTACCTCAGATCTAGCGATTCAGAATTTACTCTGCAGGAACTTGGAAATCTGTAGTCATTATCAGTTAAGTTACGAAAACACTACCTCCGAGGAAGGTCATGTATGAACCAGGAGAACCCTAGTCAAGTGTGTTTATGTGTTGGGGTGGGGGGTTACTTTACTGAAAGTAATTTTTTTTTTTTTTTTTTTTAATGCAGTGTTGCTTTGTCGCCAGGCTGGAGTACAGTGGTGCCATCTCGGCTCACTGCAACCTCTGCCTCCTGGGTTCAAGTAATTATCCCACCTCAGCCTCCCAAGTAGCTGGGATTACAGACATGTGCCACCACATCCAGCCAAGTTTAATATTTTTAAAAGAGACGGGGTTTTCCCCATCTTGGCCAGACTGGTCTCGAACTCCTGATCTCATGTGATCTGCCCACCTCAGCCTCACAAAGTACTGGGATTACAGGTGTAAACCACTGCACCCAGCCTAAAAATTTAATGTTTAAGATTGTATCTCCCTAAAAATGCACCAACCTGAATAGAAAGATCTAGTTAACATTTATTTGATTTCATTATTTTCCTATTAGGTATAATTATGACTTAGACCTTTTGTTTTTTATTTTATTTTATTTTATTTTATTTGGTCAGGAAAACGCCTAGTTTGGAGTGAAACCAGGGCCTTCTTATGAGCTAAACAGTGTGTTACAGCTTCAATAGACTAAACAAGCTCTAAATTTTATCTTCCTATGGTAAGTAGAAAATGATAATTTAAAATGTGCTTTTTATTTATCTGCATTAAGCCAACATGAAGAAAATTTAACATCTGATTTTTTAGTTAGTACATAAAATAGAAAGTTGTTTAAAGCAACAACAAAAGCCAACCAGATAATTTCGAATCAATAAATTTAGAATGTGTTCTTACAGCTAAAACTTTATAAAGAGAATTTCAACTTAGATATACAAGAATTACTCCAACACATTTTCCTTTGGAATTAGAGCATTTTGCATATGTAGCTTGCCTGGGAACTTTTGATTTCTAAAAGAAGTGGTTTCTTTTTACAGCAAGATACCTGTTTTTCTAGTAGGAGGATAGGTTCAAAGAGATTCGGCATCTTGCTTGGAGGCGCCCATCCGTCCCTGGAAAAGTCAGACATCAGAGAGGAGTTCCGGACTGAGCGCCCGGCCTCTCGTGGAAATGTTTCTGTTGCCCGTGCACTTCCTGAGACAACTTAGTCCTTGAGAATTCCAGATTTCTTGTTTTGTTGTCCAGAGTAGCCTTCCTTTCAGCACTGCAAGTGTCAGAATTGTTTTTGACGATGATTAGGCAAAATAAATGAATTTTCCTTTACAATTTAATCTTTGCGGAGCCTCTCCACAGGAGCCACCGTGAAGGGCAGATGCTCCATAGCACGAGCTCATCCTTTCCTCCACCTGTGACCACCTGCTTCCTGCCTCAGCACTTCCATCCACCGCACAGCCCAGCTGCCTCCTCGGTTCCAGGACCCATGGCTCCCTCAGTCACCGCACAAGTGCTGTGTGAGCAGCGACCCTGGGGGCCTCCCTGTCATCGTGCAGCTGCCTTTAGCCTGAGCACTGACTTTCACAGATTCCCCCTCACGTTTCCACTGTCAGCCTGAGGCCAGACTGCACAACTTCCCTGGTCCGTTTTGTGAGCCTCCAGCCTCCTGCTTCCTGCTTCCTGTGTGGGGAACCCTGGAGATTGACGCGCCCGTCTGTCCACCAATGCCTCGGAGTTGGGCTGCACAGGAAGCAGGGCTGTCTACCTCCTTGGACCTGCCCACTCATCTCTGAGGAGAAATGCAGCTCCCCCCACCCAGAGGAGGAAGTGAAGTTTAGAATGCGTCTCCAAGATACAGTTGACAATGTTGCTCAACTAAGCCTCGAATTAATTTGAATTTTGTGAAAATAAGCATCAAAAATATGACTACATCATACTGAAGTCTGATTCAAAGTTTGTCTCTCAGCAAGCTTAGAAGCCAAGCATAAGAAGAGATAGGTAGCGTAATCACAGTAGAAAAATGCCAAAATATGAATGGAATTATGCCAGGGTACTGGATCCCTAATATTTTCGTGGCATTATCAGTGTTTCTGGCCTCCAGAAGTCTATTTGCTCACCTGGGTCTTAAATACCTTATTAATAAAATGTAAACTGCAAAATTTAACCTGCCTGAGGACCAGGACTTTGGTCAGGTATAATTTTAAATTCAATACATTTCATCATAAAAATAATATTAACAATTTAACATTTAACAAAATTTGACCTTTAAGCTTTGTTAAAAACATTTTATGTTTTTAGTAACATGGAAACAACAATATTTTGAAAAAATACAAAACAAGAAGCAAATCTCTTAATAAGACTGCTGGCATTTTTAAGGATTTATTTTTGTGGGTACACAGACATATATTTCTTCTTTCTCTTTCCTTCTCTTTACCTCTCTTTCCCTCTCACGCACACACAAAATTGTGTATTTTTAATTCTTCACTTCTTTTTACTCAAATTCCATGATAATTTATATTATAAATTAAATTTTAAGAATAGTTTTATTTTTTCAGTTTTTATATTAGTTTTCAATGTTTATGTTATACTCTATAAATCTCTCATCTTTTGATTCAAACTTTTTTTGCAAATAAAATTTTAATGATAGACATTTGTTAAGTGTTTATTATGTGAAAATTATTTTCCATATACAGATGCTTCTCAACTTACAATGGGTTTATGTCCTAATAAACCCGTCCTAAAGTAGGAAAATTGTAAGTTGAACCATGGTAAGTCGGGAACAGTCTTGTGGTATTTTATTTGAAAAACGTTTAAATTGCTTAAATCTACAATAGCTTTCAAACAATATAAAATAACGAGATGAAAATATTGCCCGAGAACACCAGACTAATGGAAAACAAGCAGAGAAAAAATAAACTGAAACAAGAATTATGAAATGCATGCTGTTAAGTTTTATACTTTCATTAGAGATGTGCATCAAATTACATTTTGGATTTTTAACAGCCAAATTGGGGACAAGGGGTGTTGGCTAGCAAGAAGGTATAATTATTTACATATCCTAGTGTTATAAAATAAAATCAAACCCATTTCCTGAAAATGCAGCCTTTCTTGATATAGAGATCTCAGGCAATAGAGATGTTAGATCATATACTTTCTTTTTTTAAATAATCTTTAAATTCAAAGAATATGCACATATTTATAGTTCTTGATACATATTACCAATTTTCTTTTCCCCAAAGCCAGCATAGGCATCGTCACATAAACTTTTCAATGCACTAAGTGGAAATAGCTCCTCTTTTATTAATGTCTTTAATTAATCCCTATTTATTTGTTGGTAGCAAAATTCAACATTGTTTTTGTTGTGTTCGCCTCTTGTTATATTTGCTGGTTTATGAGTTGCCCAATCGCTTCTGTCTATAAGGTTTTTCATGAAGGATCTTATATGGGGAAAGTTTGGCCCATGGTGCTCTGGCATAGTCCATACAGGTAAATATTTCAAAGTCGGTGAAGATCCGGCTTTTCCACGACTGAGGCATTTATGTCTAATTGCAATATTCCTGATTATGACAGAATCTAGTCCTCTTTTGTATGTACATTTTTAACAGAAACATCACTGTGAGTTATCCTGCCTTTTGATTTTAATATATATAAAGTTGCAAAGAAAGAGAGCAGCAGATAACAGGGTGATAGTACATTTTGTCATTTTGTTTATATCGGCCAGACTGGTCAACTGTAAGCTTGAAATCTAGAATTACCTTGTGCTTTAGATGCAAAAATTGTATTAATTATATTTTCAATTACAGAGATAGAGGTTTTCACTCATTCTGTGACAGTGTATCTTTGCTGTAGCCCACAGAAATAAACTATTATCTAATTCTCTTGATACTTTTTCCTCTTGCCAAACATTTCAGGAACAATATTAGATCTGTGGTTTAAGGACTCATATTAACACACTATTCTTATCAACTGCTTCTCTGTGTTGTGCTGATTCCAAAATAATTTAAATCATCTGCTAAAAAGGGTGTTTTTTAGAAGTTTTTATATTGTATATAATAAACACTAGTTATGCTAGCATTATTTTAAAAACAAAGCAGCATGTTTTGAAGCAGTGCTTTTAATCAGATAACTCTGTTAGCATGTGGCCTATATAACCTAGAGTCTTCTCTCAGGACACATGTTTGAATGTTTTGAAGAAATGCTGGGTGCAGTCCTATCAGAAAGACAACCTGTTCATATTCCATCACATCGACTGCATCTGCTTCAGCCACATGCTATGTGAACTTGGACTGCTGGCGTCGGGGGAAAATCAATACTGCCACGTGTTATGACACTTTTCCCGGAAACACATGTTTGTAAAAATTTTGCAAGAGCCAAATAGAAGATGGTAGTGGTATAAAAAAGCAAGCACATGAATCTAACTGCAGTCTAGGCCTTAGAAGACTAGTGCCTAATTTTTTGCTACAGAGTTTGATGGATACGGAGAATGTTGAAAAGCCTAGGGGATAGAACAAAACAACAAAGAAAAGAATTTGAGTTCTTCAGTCTGAAGAGAAGGTTGGAAGGTTAAAGACTGTCTTATTAATGGAATTCAAGTTATATAGAAGTTTTGTAATTGAGTCAAAATGAATTAACCTTTTTCAAAGGCAATTTTGATTTCTCTTCCAATGTCTTTAAATAAGAGCAAATGAGGGAATGATAGAGGAGGAGGGGATGACAGAATATCTTTGAGCATAGGCAACTTTCCCTGGGATTTCCTTTTTCTCACCTCATGAAGTATACACTCAGGACTTAATGTCAGGATTTTTTCCCAGTTCTTTCCTTTCTGTCTGTCCTTTCACCATTTCTATTCAGAATGAAACATTGACCTGACAGAACTATCCCATGACCACCCCTGAAAGGAGATATTCAGAGACTGGTACAACTGCCTTCTGATGTTAGAATGAAAAAAAAAAAAAAAATCAGCTTCTCAGAAGTTACCAAGCGTGATTCTAATTTGGTATGAAATAGGCAGAGCAGCCATTTCTGGTACTGATGGCTGTTGCATCTAAGAATGCTGTTGGAAGACGGAGGTAGACGTCCCTCTCCCTGAATCACGGGAGTTAGGTTTTCTGGTTTTAGAGATTTTTGAAAATCAATAAATGCCCCAAATGACTTGCCAAACTTTTCATTCCAGTTTATAGTACAAGCAAAGTATTCCTTGTCTGAAATGCTTAGGATAAGAAGTGTTTCAGATTTCAGATTTTTTTTCAGAGTTTGGAATATTTGCAAATACAAGATGAGATACCTTGAAGATGCGACCCAAGTCTAAACACAAAATTCATTTGTGTTTCATATATACTTTTTATGTATAGCCTGAAGATAACCTTGTGCAATGTTTTAAATACGTCCCCTAAAGGAATAAACTCTGTGTTATACACCTGAGTTTTTACTGCAAACTATCACATGAGGTCAGGTGTAGAATTTACCACCTGTGGCATCATGTCAGCACTCAAAAAGTTTTGAATTTTGAACATTTCTGATTTTATTGTTTTAGGGATGCTCAACCTGTATCCAAACATTATAAACATGTCCCTAAATTTTAGACTATGTGTAGTGCTCAATTCTTTCTGGAAAATATTTGGCTTGCTGGTTTTCATTTAAAATATAATCTGAAAGTCATTATTTTATTAACCAAGATTATTTTTGAATGATCAAAATATGCTTAAAAATAAATACAGTTTTGTGGCCAGGTGCGGCGGCTCATGCCTGTAATCCCAGCACTTTGGGAGGCCAGGGTGGGTAGATCACGAGGTCAGGAGATCGAGACCATCCTGGCTAACACGGTGAAACCCCATCTCTACTAAAAATACAAAAAATTAGCTGGGCGTGGTGGCAGCGCCTGTGGTCCCAGCTACTCGGGAGGCTGAGGCAGGAGAATGGCAGGAACCCGGGAGGCGGAGCTTGCAGTGAGCAGAGGTCATGCCACTGCACTCCAGCCTGGGCGACAGAATGAGAATCTGTCTCAAAAAAATAAATAAATAAAAATAAAAATAATAGAGTTTTGTTTGTTTCATTTTAGAAAATAAATGCAAGGCTAACTTTTAATTTTCTTAGTTGCTATGGTAAATCAAAATTAACTAAACCTTAAATTTGTATTGGTAGTCAGTATTAGGTGATTACTAAGTAATCTGTATTTAAAGTAGACAAAATTTGAGTCTAATCATATAATATTAAATGTTTTTTATGTTTTTGATGTCTATTCAGAAATCTATCCACTGCTTACTATTGACCGCCCGAAAACCATTGTGATAGTGGATTTTATGTGTAACTTGACTGGGCCAGGGGTGCCCATATATCTTGTTATATATTAGTTCTGGGTGTGTCTGTGAGGGTGTCTCCAGGAGAGATTAGCTTTGAATTGATAAACTGGTTAAAGCAAATTTTCCTCTCTGATGTGGTTGGGCATCCTCCAACCTACTGAGGATCTGAATAAAACAAAAATGAATTTTCTCTCTCTGCCTAACTGCTTGAGTTGTAGCATTGGTCTTCTTTTCTTGAACTGGGATTTCCAGTATTGGTATTCCTGGTTCTCAGGCTTTTAGGCTTAGCCTACAATTCATACCATTATCTTTCAGAGTCCCCAGATTGTAGATGACAGACCATGAAACTTCTCAGACTCCATAAACATGCAACCAATTACTAAAATATTTTATAATTATTATTTTTTGTGTGTGTGGAGGTGGGGTCTTGCTATATTGC